TCTCATCATGTTTGATGTTTGTTTAAGAAGATTAAATCTTTTGAAACCTTGTGTGTTGCTGACTTGGTTGAGCTTGTTTTGAAGTGATGTTGATAATGGTTTGTCTTTGTTATAAGAATACTCTTTGTTGTTTATGATGATATTTTTTAGTGGTTTGTTATTCTTCCCTGTTCTTATTTGACCTTCATTATTGGATATTAGATAATCAATTACTGAACCCGTGCTGTAATCCCCTGCCATTTCTGTATCCTATATATGGCATGTTGACTTTAAGTCCTTTTGGGCGCGGGTTGCTGGTGCGGGGTCTGGATTTTGGCGGGGTTGGGTTAAACGTTGAAATGTGGGTTTGGGTTGGAGTTTGAAACTGAAACTGATGAAGTTGATGTGTTTGTTGATTTGGTGAAAGCTGTGAAAGGTTTTTGTGGGGGGTGGAAGGCTCAACCCTGTGGCTTGTCAGACCCTTGACAATGTCACTCCCTGAATGTCTTGATTGAACCCTCGACCACATAAGAAAGAAAAACAATCTGGGCCGCTCTTAAGGAAGTCAAAATAGTCATCCGAATTTCTGTTTTTTTTTTGAAAGTGTTGCACCAAAAATATTTCCCACTTGTGGGGGATCCGGGGTACTCTTAACATATTTCGAATGGTTCGTCAGCAAACTGGTCAAGCGGTGATCCGTTTCCGAGATTCTGCTCTGGGTCAGCCCGGGGCTCAAAGAAGCTCACTCTGGCCCTACCCACATTTCGACCAGGTGTCAAAGAATCGGCGCAAAGACGCAGGGTCGGAACTCTTCTCAAAAAGCCGCGCGAAGCCTAGGAACCGACGAGCGCTGCGGCCTTCGTCACCAAGACAGAGCAGCCGGAAAAACCTAGAGCCCGGAAAACAGTTTGGTAGCCGGGCAAGACGCTCTCTTTGTATCATGTTTAATCAAAGGACTTGGAAGCCCATCCCTTTCAAAGACCTTGGAGAACGCCCTGGGCTGGTTGTTTGCTGGCGCACGGCCGAATTTTGTTTCAGCACGGAGCCGTGGGGTGTGACACACATACAGCGAGGTCACGTGTAAACGCACACACAACTTGACAGGGAACCGTTCCCAAAAAACAATGCAGCTGCCTTTCGCAGGCAAGCAGTGAGCGCGAGACTGACTGGACGTGGCAGTGTTACTGTTTAAAGAAACTATCTGCCAATGAAAGCGCGGGGCTTTCTCCAGTCGTGGCGACTGTGACTGTTGAAAGTGTAGGTTCCCGACGGCGCCTGCGACTGTCGAGAGCCCAGATCCTCGACAGGCGCCTGTGGCTGTCGAGAGCCCAGGTTCTCGATAGTTCGCCGTTGTCTGTGATTGTCGCGGGCATAGGTGCTCGACAGTTCAACAACGCCGGTCAGAAAGCCCAGATTGTCGACAGTTCAACGACGCCGGTGAGAAAGCCCAGATTGTCGACAGTTCGCCGGCGCCTGGACGGTTGAGAGGCGGTTCTTGCTTGTTGCTAGATGTCGCCGGCGCTTGGAACCGTTGAAGAGAGCTCGCCCAAAATAAAAACTTCGAAAATTCAAACGCGGCAACGGTCTTAAGCAAATCACCGTCGAGAAGGGAGGGCCGCGTCGGGCCTCCCTTCTCAGCAGTCCCAGGCGCCGGCGACCGTCGAGAGCCCCTCTGCGACTTTCTTAGGATTGCACCTCAAGAAACAGAGGTGGTTCTCAACAGTCCAAAGCCCACGCCCCATTGTTCTCCGGGGGGGGGCTCTCGACAGTCACAGGCGCCGGCGATCGTTGAGAGCTGAGGGCCTATTGGGCCCCCCCCTCTCGACAGAGATTTGCTTAAGACCACCTTGCTTCTTTGAATTTTGCATTTCTTCAAGTCAGGGGGCTCTCGACAGTCACAGGCGCCGGCGACTGTCGAGAGCCCCCCTCACTTGGGCTGTCGACAGTCACAGGCGCCGGCGACTGTGGATAACCTGGGTTCTCGACAGTCACAGGCGCCGGCTCTCGACAGTCACAGGCGCCGGCGACTGTTGAGAATCTGGGCTCTCGACAGTCACAGGCGCCGGCGCAATGTCGAGAATCTGGGCTCTAACCCGGATCTAGACTGTCACAGGCGCTGGCGAACAGCCGGCAACTCGAGAAAGCCCTCGCTTTCATTGGCAAATAGTTTGTTTAAAAGGTACCACCGCCATGTCCAGTCAGTCTCGCGCACACTGCTTGCCTGCCAAAGGCAGAATTCTTTTTTGGAACGGTTCCCTGTCGAGTTGCGTGCGTGTATGTTTACACCTCAGTGTTCAGCCAAGCTTGCTGTTGTCACACCCCACGGCTCCACGTTGAAACAACTTTCGTTTGAGTGTGCGCAGAAACCAGTCCAGGGAGCTCTCCAAGGTCCTTTGAAAGGGAGGGGCTTCAAGTCTTATGATTAAGCAAGTAAAAAGTGCGCGCGTTGCTCGGCTACCAAAGTGTTTTCCGGGCTCTAGGTTTAGCCGGCAGCTCTGTCTTGGCGACGAAGGCCGCAGCGCTTGTCGGTTTGAAGGCTTCGCTCTGCGTTCCTTGGCTGTTAGGCAGGGTTCCGATTCTGACTTTGTCTCTTTAACATTGCGCTGACTTTTTTACACATGGTCATAACAGGGATTTCGATGGGCCAGGAATTCTTCCTTTTCTAGGGGCGGCTTCCAGATGGCAGGGCAGCTGTGAAGGGAAAGGGCGGTGAGCTTCTTTGATCGCGGGGCTGCCCCGGAGCAGCGTCTCTGCAACTTAGATCCCCAACCAAAAAAAGGAGTAGCGCTGAACGAAGCGCCCTTCCAGCTCTGAATAGTGTCTCTCCACCACGACGAAAGTGAAGAGCCCTCGTTTGCCTAGAAAACAAAAACACACATGAAATTACCTTCGACTTGTTCGACTATGTTAAGACCATCCCAGCAATGGCTTGAAGTCGTCAGTCTGGTAGGTAAAGAGGATGATGTCTTCTTGGCCTCAGTGCGGACGGTGCTCAACGGTGATCATGAACAAACACTGTTGCTCTTTACAAAGAAAGACTGCTCTTTTTTCAGCCGACCCCAATTTAAGCGTAAATTGCATTTTTCATGTGTCTGATTTGGACAGGGCTGATTTGGACAGTAACCCCCAAGGTTTGCTTGGGAATATTTACCCAAGTCTTATAGCATTGACTCAAAACTGGGCAACAAATAGTGAATTAGAGAAACCCAAGCATAAGAAGCCATGACTGAGGAACACAGGATTTTGTGATGAAGGAACACAGGAAACCGTGATTGAGGAACACGTGATTCCGTGATTGAGGTAAATAGGGTTGCGTAGTTGAAGAACTCAAAGCCTCAGCAAGCTCCGAATGGAATCCAGTTCTTGGCAGGCCTGCAATTGACACCTTTTCCTGGCTTCGCACGGGTTGGGTCGTCTGGGTTCAAAGCTCAGACCTGGTAGAAAATGAGGTAGGCAAAAGCCACACCATTGCAGTAACCGCAATAAGAAGAGCAACGAGCAAGCAACGTTCAGCTCGTTCAGCTCGTTTGCGTTCACGGTCAGCTCGTTCGCGCTCTTGATCCAGTTCCTCCACCTGCACACTGTGCGGCCAAGAGACTACGCTGAAGGCAGTGCTGCGCAATTGCGGAAACAAACTCCAGGGGATCTCCTCTGCGCAATTGCGGTATTGTGATGGGCTTCCTGTTCACAATGATAACACACTAATCCACCGCGTCCATGTTTGCCAAAGCTCGAATTTGAAGGTAGCGTTCCAGCTGTGCCATTTTGATAAGAAGCAAGGCTGACATGACAGATACCTCCATGACACCTGTCCCTTTTATCTCATCCGGCCCTGTCAGGAGCTCGGCGGAAGCACCAAGCATTCTTCTCAATGATATTTTCTCTGTCACACAGCCTTCAAGGTCAGCTTCAGCCGTTGCATTTCCATCACCATCATCTTGTGTCGTCTTCCCATGTTGGCAAGCAATCCTTTCAAGCGTGCCTGTCGAGACAATGCTCTCTGAAAGTCTTCTTGCTTCCTCTCGCATGTTCTGCCATCCTTCACGCTCCCCTGCGACTGCTATTGCAGTGATAGGCCTGCCTTTCTTCAAACCTGTCATGCAAAACGCCTGTGCCACTTTGCCCTCATAGTGCGCACCTGCTTTTCTTCCATTCAGGGATGAAGCGTCAGACCACATCTCGGTTCCATCTCGAAGGGCGAACATTGGAATGTGCTACAATGATACAATGATAAGAACAGAAGCACGAACCACATTGGCCTGTCAATGCTTGCATTTCTGCCATTGCAACACATGATTGATTGCCTTCACCCAATGAGTAAAACTGCATAGCTTGAGCCTGTTTATCTTTGCGGACAAACAAGAGATGGGTCACGTTTTGGCAAGCATGTCCTTCACCATGCGCTGGGTCAAGCAGCTCAAGCTCTGGGTGCCAGGCAGAAACTGCGTCGAGGTTGATGTCCGAGCGCGGGAGAGCGGTCGGCAATGTTTTCATAAAAAACGCAATGGAAACATGCGTCCCCCGTATATCGACACCAAGACGCAGCATTCACCTTGAATATCCACACAAACCACGAGCAAACCATTTACATATAAGCCCCGCCCGTTTGCCCACACCAATGCGCAAAATGCGCAAGAAGAGAACCAGCCTTCCCATATGTCATGCCGTTTCAATCGAATAGGTTCAGCCCCTGAAATCTGTCAATCGGAATGAAGCCGAGAAGGTCGATATGTTGACGCTGGCTGAAACACCCACATGCAACCATCACACTCATGAAAAAGCCACTCACAACCCAATGAACTATCCTTTCCATAAGCTCTAACAAAGACATTGAAAAGGTCAATATCTTAGACCCTTTCAAATGAAAAAAATGTTCAAACACTATTGTACAATTCCTCAGAACCCAATACTTAGGTTTTGAACGAAATTGATGCCTTGTTGAAAATCATCCCTGGACCCTGAAGCCCTAACCTTGAAATACCCTACCTCAGAACCAACCTTATACCTTTTTTTCCCCTCGCCTCCCGGTGCCAGGGGGAGACATTGTAGAGATAGGTGAAGTAAAGTTCTTCGGCGTGCTCCGCCTCAGCCGGCTGGCGAGCCTCCAGTGTCGCCTTTTGACCTGCCTGTTGCGGTTCTTGTGGTTGTTGTGGTCGTGGTTGGCTGGGGTTTGCGTTCCTTGCTTGGCTGGCTGGCTGGTTGGTTGATTGTGTATTTTTTGTGATTGCTTCTGTGATTGCTGTTGGCCGTCCACATCGTCAGTGGTGCTCGTCGTCCTCGTCGTCGTCGTTGTCCTCGCCCTCCTCGTCGATCCTTTCTCGTCGCCATCGCGGTTGTCGTCTTCGTTGTCGTCGTGCTTGCTCTGTTGCTGTTGTGTTGCTGTTGTGTTGCTGTTGCTGCTGCTGCTGCTGTTGCTGATGCTGCTGCTGCTGCTGCTGCTGCTGCTGCTGCTGCTGCTGCTGCTGCTGCTGCTGCTGCTGCTGCTGCTGCTGCTTCTGCTGCTGCTGCTGCTGCTGCTGTCGTCGTCATTGTGGTGGTGGTGGTTGTTGGTGGTCATGGTGGTGGTTCTTGTTGCTTGCGTTGTGTTGCTGACAGCCAAACATAAACACACAAGCGCCAACAACGACAAACAACAACACTCAGCAACAAACAACGGTGCTTCGACAAGCTGCTATTGATGTTGTTGCCTCAGGCTCCCTGCCATTGGCGTATTGCCCTCGAAGCAAACCTCACGCGAAGTTCGCACAGCCCTTGGCGCTCGACAAGTGACGGGCACATGCCAAACATTTGCTTTGTTAAAACCAAAAGACAAAAACAAACGCAAGAAAACAACCAAAAGACAAACACCAGAAAACGAAACAAGAACACATACACCTCACGCTGGTGCTGGCACATCCGAGCATGTCCATGGTCATGAGGAAGCTGGGGGTCACGGTTCCCAGATCTAAGGCCTGGAAACAGCTACCTGCGAGTAGGAGCCCCAGGCGCGGGTTCAGAGTGGATTTGAGGTGGGTTAGGGTTGGCTTCGGGGAGGTTGTAAGGTTGGCTTAGAGCGGTTGAGGGTTGGCTTAGGGGTGAGGGTGGGTTTGAGGTTTAGGTTTAGTTTAGGGTGGTTGGGGTGGGCTTGGGATGGGCTTGGGGTTTGCTTACCGTTGCTGTGTGGTGTTTGGGCTTGGGGTCCCGTTTGATTCCTCAAGCTGAAGTCAGGGCACCGACTGGAAATTGCCTAGCGCCACACCAAAGAGTCCGCAAGTCCGAACTCGGGCCGAGCGCCTCGAAGTAGGGCATGACGTACTCGAGGATCTCCTGGCATTGCTTACTCATCGTCTTCGAATCGCTGCTTGGAGGCTACTCGTTTTAAAAGGACACCCTCGTTCGTTGCATAAACGTGTCCCTTGGGTGTGGTGTCGCACTTTTCGGGCGTTTTTTCGGGGGAACGGGCGCAAATTTGGATTCGAGCAATGTTGGCAATAGCGGATGCTTTTTTCTTGTTGCATTGAAACATGTGGAAACACACCCGCAAAACTAGCGCAAATGCGAATCATGCAACAATTGGTATTTTGCAAGAAGCCCGTGTTAATTGTTCGGGAGTCAACTCAAACGCAGGGTGCCAGAACGACCTGCCACCAAGAAAGGGCATCCACTCATTCTGTTGTTCGTCCGGCGCGGCAAGAGTGAGATTATCTACATAGGTAGCTAACATCGGGTCTATTTTTGGGAGGGCTTCCCGGCAAAATCTGAGCATTCTTCACCGAGTAACTGCGAGGAGACTTGGATTTGTCAAAATTTACTACTGCGAGTCGGCTATTGCACAGATACCTATGCGCCGACCGCCTCCGTGAAAAAGCCTGCTCTTCGATTGGAACTTGCACACTTATGTGGGAACATGGGTGTTTGACCCAGTTGCCTAGTGACTTGTAGAAACAGGGGGGGGCCTTCTTGGCGTGGATCCCATTTGTACAGTCACGAATCGGTACGAAACAAAAATGGGGCAAAGGGCAAACATGCTCGGCAAGTTTCGCTGTGCGTTTGCCCATGCGTCCTGCAGTCGAAGCTCCTCATCTTGGGGGTCGACATCCACAATAGAGGCCTTGGGCGGCGCGGGGCGCAAAGCTTTGGACTGGTGGAACGTGGATCTAAATCACCAGGGCAATCACCAAAATCAGTAGCTGAGTGTTTCCTTTCTTGAGGGGTACCCCTTTTTTCTTTTGCTTTTAGAGGGGAACAAAAAAGGAACAGCCGAAGCCATTTTGGTTGGAGCCCCCCCCCCAAAACAAAAACACCCCTAACACCTTCCCCCTCAAACATCGGATGCCCAAGCGTGCCATGGCGGCATAGCCATGGAGAAGGTATCGACCACTGCCACACATGCGTGGAGAAGGGGGTTCCGGGATGGACCACCCGAACGACCCACATGGGGGATCAGCTTGAGCCCTGGGGTTCAAGCCACCACTAAAACCATGGGGGCTGAGAAAAAACCCAAGGACTTTTCATCATCCAAACGGGGTCCACTATTCTTTTAATATAGAGATTAAACCCCAAGGCGAGGATGTCGAAACTGATGCTAAAAAATCCAGAAGCTATGCGCTAGGACTTGGAGCCCCCCAAAACTGGTTGTCCTTGTCGCTTCCCTTCGAACCAGCCTGAAAAGGGCTCAGAAAAACGCACACCCACCGCGGCCCAAAGGGAAACCCACAGTCGATATGTCGGCTTCACATCGCCAGGCTCGTGACAACACTTCCTCCCACGTCCTGTCTGATTATTTTTGCCTACCCTGGGATTGCGCAATCGGACATTGCCCAACATGGCAAACAAAACTGATCCCAAACCTGGCCAAACAGATCCACTGGTCCATATTTAGCCTGCCCTATAGCAAGACTCCTCGGTGCAACTGATGCAAATTCCTTGGTTCCCAGTTGGCACGCCCGAGCGCAGGGTGTCCGAGTCTGTTGAGAGGCTTTCCGTGATACCAACCTGTGCCGAGTCAAGTGTTTTGTGGGTCTGGGGGTGACTTGGGGCACAAAGATTGCCTAAAGCCTGATATCCCGTCAGAAGCTTCGCCGTGATGATCTGATTTGAGAGCCCCAGGTTCCATATGTTTTTGGATTCCTCACCAAGGCGGCTGCAACTTGGTTGGAGGCGAAGACTTTGCTAGCCTCGGCGCACATCCAAAGGAACCTTAAACTCTTGGCTGGACTGCAAAACGAATGCCCTGGTCACCAGAAAAATGTCAATCTGAGTGTTTGCCGTTGGGGCCTAAGGTAGCATGAAGTGAAGCCAAAACGGGTTTAACGGCGGGCCAAGGCAATGATGGAACCGCGCCACTGGATGGCACACTACCCGCCCCTGTCGGTACAAACGAAATACATATGGAAATTCACCTGCGAAGGCGCTTAGCCAGGTAGTGCCTTGGCCGCTGTTTCTGGACATGCGGGAAGATGTCTGGACATGAACGGGGGGTGGATGGATAATAAAATTATATTTGATGTCTGGTGGGAAGAAAAGGACACTCATAAGTGGAACCTTTGGAGGCAGCACTGATATAAAGGTTTCTTGCACCGGAATTGCAAGCTGGTGAAATGACCCGATGGTGTCCGAAATCACAAGGTGCAACAAACTGAACAACTGGGCAACTAACAGTTGCTGATGCAAGCCTCAAACGGTCCAAAAACAAAACACAAAACAAAAAGAACCCTTAACATGTTTTGCGGGGTCGTCCAATTCTGCCGCTTCAAAGCACATTGTACGGATGTGTTTGTGGGTAGTTTGCAGCTGGCTCACGGGAAGCCAAGAGAAAGAACACCGGGGTGGCTTGTCTTCTTTTGAGTTGATAACCTTTTCTTTTTGAGGGTGTTCAATCGCAAAAGGAAGACCCTCCATTTTGGGGGTCCAACCTAAAGACAGAGACTCTAAGTTAGGTCCAATTCTCAGAAGGCGCATGGCCATGTCCATTTGACTCCATGCACTTGGCCCTCTCTTCTCCCCCCCCCCAAAGCTCTAGCGCCCCCGGCGGGTTGCCAGTCCACCGACTGCGTCTTCCAAGCCTGCCAATCAGACCGGCTTGGATTTTCTCGAGAAAGTCCAGCGAGTCGGAGGAAAAACGTCGAGCTGATGTTCACCCTCCCAATGAAAAACCTTAAGACCCCAAGACCCCAAGTATGAGGGCCGTTTTATTTCACCCCCAAGGGCCTTCAATAGGTCTTGAGCTGCCGGGGGATTAACAGAAGGAGACGTTTTGGGGGGGTGCGGACGTCAGGTTCCCACGTGACTGGGTCTAAGTCAATTCTCCAGATGCGCTATGACTCTTTCTGTCGGATTGGGGAACCTGGGCTCTGGTAGGACATGGCCAAAGGCAAAACACCCACACCTTTATATACGTGTGCCCCAACGTGTGCCCCAAATGACGCACTCCCAAAAAAGGATCGATCCCCCCAAAACACCCACGATGTTCATTTCAACTTAAGCCTCTTCCTCTGTCTGTCCGCTTTGAGGCTAGCCACTTGTTGGTTGATCAATATTCCTGGCCCACAAGTGACCATAGGTAGCCTTTCCCATTTAGTGGTTGACATATCATTTCCTTGGTGGTTTTCCAACCAATGGTCATCCCACGGACCCAGGACCTTTTGATCAACCCCCAACTGCCATGCAGTCCCCACTCCTTGCCTTCACTGCCTCTGCCCAGTTGACGTCCATGCAGCCTGGCCAGGTTGGATTCTCATCTTCCCCTCGATTGGTGGCTTGGATCTCTGATTTGGAGGTTGGGGGGGCAGCTTGCTATATTCCGTAAGAACCAGCGTTTGGAATTCCAAACCCAAACCAAAGCACCCAGTTACGTGATAGATGCTTTCTGGACGGGAAAAAACAGATGCCAAGTGAGGAGGCGGTTCTGGGGGGGTAGAGGAAAAGCCTCCGCACTGTGTGCAACCCTCAAGAAACGTGCAACCGCCCGCCTTTTGTGTTGAACAATGAGGGTGAGATGATTGTACTCTGCCCATGCCCATCCCAAAAGGTGACACAATTCCCAGAGGTGCACAACCTTCAGTAAAGCTCAGCTCCAATGCTTATGCGAGCAAATGGGGAATCTTTGCATGGAAGCTCCGCTTCGTGGGCCGTGAGTGGGAAGGAAGCGAACCAGGGGAACTTAGGTTTTTGTTACACATCGGCACATGAATCTTCAAGGGACTCCCAATGAAAGGGCCTACATCAACTGACCTTTTTAACCGGAGCACGCCATAATTACAAACTGCCAGCGGAGCCTTCAATCATGGCGCGGCATGAGTCGCATCGAGCGGCTGTTCACGAATAGCTGCCCACAAAACTGACAGTTGACCCCACCTCCTATGGTTGTTACTTTACATAGCTGCCCGCAACAGTTTTGCGTGCAATGGGCTTTGATGGGCTAGAGGCTGTCTGGGGCTTGGGGTGGACACGGGAGTAATGGTTCTGGCTGTGCTACAACTCAACTTGCAACAGCGTGGAACCTGGCACAAAATGGTTGAAGCCGGTGCCGGAGTTCCAGTTGCGACTGGTTCGGTGTGTTCTTGGCTCCGCATAGCCTAAGAGTCAGTGATTCGTTGCTCAAGGCGGCTAAACTTTGAAGTCAGTATTTTCCACTTAGCTCAGAGAGAAGTCATGCCGGTCATGTTGCTTATTACCTAAAGCCAAAATCTGCGAGCCGAACAGCGGACTCATCCAGCATCGCCCTCATGCCAGGGCCAACCACACTTCCAAACTGCAATTTGCTGGAACAAGGCTTCTGAAGAGACGTGCGGCACAACGGTGCTGCCAGTTGTGGAAAACTAATGCCAGGAATGGGCTGTCGGCTGACAATCGGTTGCTGGCAAGACGGAGGAGCTACATTCAAAAACAGTCCTGCTAGAAATCTAACGCCAAGAAGTTGCAAACAGTTTTGGTTCTCCGTCTCACCCAGCTTCTGCTAACATTCAAGCAGTCTCCTTCCCGCCTTGCCATGTTCAAACGTGGACAATTCGCTCAGCCATGAATTCCAGTCTCCCAGCGACGCGGGTGGAAAGGGAACCAACAAGTGAACGAGGGTGCCACGGAACAACCAAGAGGGGAAGCGAGCGCCGAGTACAAAAGCCCCATATGTGAAGTCAAGCCGAGCTCTCACACAGAAGTGCGCGGCTAGGTTGCAAAATGTGCGATTAAGGATTAAGTGGAACGTGAAGAGAGCTACAATTTGAAAACGAATTGGGCGGGGGGGGGGGGGGGGAAGGTGTGGAAACCCCGGTTCCTGAGGTGCCCGGATGCCGGCTTTTTCTTCGTGGTTGCATGGTTCTCAATATGTTGAGGCTGATTGCAAGTGTCATAAAATGCTTCCCTTAAAAAAGTGGCTTGGATTAGTGGCTTGGGGGTCTAAATGGGGTTTCCTATTTACCAGAACCAAGGGTTCAATTCCCTAGTTGCTCTCCGTTTTTGGCCACCGCCCGGGCACATTGCCGGCCAACACGACAAGAGAACCAGCGACCTGCAAACACACACACACACGACACACGACACACGACACACCATCTCAACCAACTCCCCTCCAATGAAAGTGTCACATGGCCTGCCAGCGAAGAAAACAAGAGCCCAACGTACACGGCACACACATGCACACACACACGCATCACCAACCTCCCCAATCTTTCGTTTTGTTGATGGGTGTGCAGGTCTTCCGTGGAAACAGGACGGGGAGCACAAGTTCAAATCCCGAGTGCCGGCCAATGCAAGCTGATGCTGAAGAAAGACTTACGAGAAACTTGTATCCCTTTTGCTCCCATTACTTCGGTAAATACTCGCCATCGGACTAACCTCCGCCACCCAAGCTCACGCGCGAACCGGGCGCGTTTTGGCTTCGGCGTTGAAAATCTGAACCTTTGAGGTGTGCTGCACCAACGAAGGTGGGGCTTGGGAGACATTGGGTTTTCACTGGGAAAGCTGCCAAGAGCGGTGGGCAGACTCTGACACTTCTCTTGGCTGGAATTAGGACCCCAGCAAAAATATATATCATTTTTGCCCGGTAGTGGAAAACAAAGGGAACCCCAAAAAAAACAAAAAACATGAGGTGCTAATCCTGGGGACCTTATGGGGTCAGTTTTGAACAGGTGTCTACGACACCCCTCCAGTCAAGTGTGAAAGTGACAGTAAGCACCAGCAGTGAAGCTGCAAGATGCTACGACCAATTCCCCGTGCCGTACTCTTGAGGTAGCACACTCCACCGGGAAAGTGCTCCCTGCAACCTTGCATTTTGCCAAGTTCACGCAAGTAAACGGTGTTGTTGCTTGCTTTTGTGGGACATCTGCTGACAAGCACCGAATTCGGTCCA